TTACAATTTTTTCTTTATGACCAATTAATTATTATTTATAAAAAAGAAAAAATATTATTATAATGTTATTTGTTTTTTTTTTTTTTAATTCTTTACTTTGTAGTCTATATAATATGAAGTCTAATTACTAAATAGAAATATTTTTAAAAATAAATCCATACATATCAACTGATGAAAATTCATCAAATGTACATTGAGAAATGATTTGATGATTCAGAAACTTGATTAGGTTTTTCATAAAGTGCGTTTACAATTTAAATTTTATTATTAGATATTTGGTGGATGAAGTAAGTGGTCCGATAATATTTTAGCTTATTTTTACATTTATGTGTTGGAATAATTCATGAAAATTCTGTTCAGTTGATGTACAACAGCAGATAGTTTAATACGAGTATATCTGTTTATCACTTATGATATCAAACCATTAGCGAATGTTATGGCCACGAAAGAATACTATCTAGTTTTAAACATTACAAGTATTTTGGTAAAATAAATAATTATAATACTATTAACAGTAAGTATTGACGTTTTAAACTATAATGCTTTGCGTTGATTTTATAATTGTTAATAAAACGAATTGTATACAAAAAATAAATAAATACCATTATTGAAATTACTGAATTATATACTTATACCTAGATTGTATTAGTTTAATAAATATTATTGAAGCATAAACTGTGTAATTAAAAGTTTTCCAATTTTAAAATCTGAAATGCGTATGAGATACTTTTTATAAATATTTGGTTCCAAAAATATATTCCGGGTAATGGTAAATCCTAATAGTTAAAAAAAAAAAATTGTAAAATATTATACATAAAAAAAAAATGCATATAAAATATTTCACTTTGCATGTGTTTGTATACTAATAAAACTAAATAATATATATCTTCCTAAAAGTATATAGAGGTCAGTTTCTATTTTCTCGGATTAATTAATATCGCTGTTTTTAAATTAATATTTTATTGACGTTAGCATTAACATTTCGTATTAATTTTAACTTTAATTAGAACGTATACGTAGTACTCTATTATATTATGATAAATATTATTTTCAGATTATTTTCCTTGATAGTGTCCTTCATACTGGTATGTATACATTATTTATTTCAAATTACGACAAATTAAAGAGAAGTAACTTATTTTAGTCTTTGTAGTTGTATAATTGTTCCCCGTTGCAGTCGATGTATCTGATTACTCAAATAATATAATTTGTTCAGTGTTTAAACATACTTAATTAGGTTTTGTTTGATTACTATTAAATTATGTTTTTAATTGTAATTTTGTTTCTTTTATTTTCGTTTTTGAAAAGAAAAAATGAGAGTTTTCTTCGGCTGTGCAAGAAAAACTGACATTTGATAATAATATAATAATAAAAAATAATAACTGCAGCAGTTGGATGGAAAGCAAATCTTATTGACAAGTTAGCTCATGCCAACGATTTTTCTTCTCTTTTTGGGAACAGCCGTCCAACCCAACGAAGCAGCTGCAACTGGAATGTTATAATGCGTATATATGCCTAGCGCGAGTGAGAGGGGGTGGTGCCATGTGATTCAACAGTAAAAAAAATGTATTATTCACAATTTAAATATTCACAATTCCAATACTATCAGGTTAGCATATATTATAATGTGTTATACGTTTTAAAATCAAGAAGTCGTCTGATTTGCATAACAACAAAGAGAAAAAATACACGATTTCAAGTATTGTGATCTGTTAAATATATATATATATATTACGAGTATATAATTTATAAGTTAAATGTTGTAATATTAATGAAAAATCAGTGATAAATGCAATTTAATGTGACTAGAGTAAACAATGACTTAATAATATAAATATATGTGTTACGTACATCTAATTTCTGCATACCATAATTTAATTATTGTATATTAACATTTATAACTTTTAATCTCGTATTCTTAATCTCCACTATTTATAAACAAATTATTAGTAAATATATTTTAAAGGTTTAGACATTATTTTTCTTAAAGTATAACACATGTGCAATTAAATTCCATTAAAAAGTGGTTTATATCTCAAACTTTAAATTAATAAATTTCAAGAATCTTTGCTATTCACATCAACTCCTCCTCGTTAACCTCGCTAACCTCTTTATCAAATTTTCTTATTATATTTTTTAATATGATTTTTTCATAAGATCATCAATCAAGATTCATCTATCAATATAATAAATTATAATAACCAACAAATATTTTACCTTTACTTCAATATTTGCATTATTACTGTATAATATAAAGAAACATTATCATACAAACTTTACTTAAAACTTTCGTCTCGACGATTAATTCGATTTCATAGTTTAATATATTGTTATTAACTGTGAATTATTTAGAACTATCGTTTTTCTTATAGTTATACATTTGTTATACATTTGTTGGTGATTTTTCATACCAATTCAGCATATTTACTGTTTGGATTTTTTCATCATCTTTGATCCTCCCTCTCCATCATCATATCTGCCTTCATATTTACATTCATTGTTTTATATGATATATATTTTATTGAAATAACCGTATATTGATTAACCACAAAAAAAAAAAGAAAATTTACTGTAGTGATTCGAACTAATATTTGGGGTGGGAATAATCTTCAATTTGGGGATTTGTTCGAAACATTTACCAGTCACTCCGCTTATATTATTTTCTTATATGATATTCGCGTTTTTCATGCAGAAAATCGTATCTTTTACATACATGTGTGACAAAAATACGTTTTTTTAAATAATGTAGGTAATATAATTCAATAGTAAAATATGTAACAAAGTCAAAATGATTAAAAAACGATAGTTTTTTCTATAAAAACGGGGCACGTGTATCGTGACGAACAGGTTTTCGCAGACAAGCCGCGTGTTAGGTTAGGTACATATTATTATAGTACGTCACACGTGACGTGATTGCCAATCGGAGCCGTCTTGCCGACGCCAGGAAAAATCGTCGGAAGTAGTCGTGATTCGATGTACGTGCAAGATTATAGGTTTTTTTTGTTTTATTTTTACACGTCAGACAGCTAAATTATACAGCCTAACATTTTATAAACAATGAAAATATTGTAAAGAGAACCGATGAAACGACATATTGCAAACAATGATTCTTGCAGCTATTTTATATGGTTCGGGCACTTTGCTTCAACGAAATCGGTTACGAACTCGTAAATCGCAAGTTAAATCCTACAAATGAACTACGTAATTTTCCCACGAGTTTTGGTTTTTTTCAAAGTGACTTTTCAGTCTAAACTTATATTTTTAATGTTTATCAATGTTACGTTAATTTCCGTTAATCAAATTCGAGTGAAAAATATTTGTGTTTTAAAGAACTCTGAAGTTTTTTAGATTTTCGAGTACCGCTATGACCGGATATCTTACCGCGACGACTGGTTTCTACTATGATGTGATTAAATTTAAAACCTTGGAAAGGTGCTATAGTTCCAACACACTGTTATCTTAAATGAAAATTAATTAAGAGTCATTCATTCGATTTCAGGGGCCTACCGGACTTTCACCTTGGTCTCGACTTATGTCGATGTACTTGCCTTTTCGATTTATCTATTATTATATCCGTCTGTTGCTGTACGGACGCGGTGCTAAGTTCTTGGTAAACATTTAGTATTGAAATTACCGAGAAGTCTTATCGTCGCAGACGTGCAACGCAGATTCGTTAATAGTTAATTTTAAATTAAATATCCACCGCTGTAATTCTGGAACATTCGAATGAAGAGTCCTTTCGTCCACGAAAGAGAGGTCCAAAAATCATAACAAGCAGAACAATGATGAAGTTTCGAATCCAAGTGAAGAATTTAATCGATTTACTAACGTTGAACGATATGTATACTAGTGATTAATATGAATGTGGAGGTCTACTAGTGGAGGTCTGGATTTGAAAGTCCCATTCGATGGGAATGATTGCCAAAACCAGCACAACGTAATAACACATGGAATAATGATCATCCGAGTACACGTATTATTTGGACTGAAATTATTGTAATACGATACATAAAAAAATGAATTGAATGATAGCCAACGAATTATTCAGACATAGATAGGTATTGGTTTGAAATATGATTTTTTGAATAAGATTTTGTTTACGTGATTTTAGTACATGCGTGTTGTATGATTATGTATTCAAATGTTATGCCAAGTGTTGTAATGCGCAGCAGTGTTTTTTATACGGTATAATATACGAGACACATAACGTACAGCTCGCCGTATTTTCTCTAGAAACTCTAGATATTTGCGATGAAGAATAACTCTGAGGAGTTCTCTTTTGCCATGGTAATGATCAAAATTTTTTTGATGGTTACTGAAGTAAAAACTGTTGTGCAACAGCAGCATACATTTTCAGATTTAATCGTTTGATTTTTATTAATTCCGCACAGGCATCCAAGGATGGGTACGCGATGTAAAATTTGTCCTCTTTTTTCACCCGCCATTATTGATCGAAAAAAAAAATGTTCCGTAATATCCGTAGAAAATTACCGTTTCACGTATTTAATATTTAACACGCGTTCAATACGGCCTTTTGGTCCATGCGCTCGAGCCCCGTCACGCCGGCCGATCAATGGTGGATGTGGGGGCCCACTCGTCGTAAACGCACGGCCGAGGGGGTTCAGCCGTTAAACTGGTCGAGGGCTGGTGGAGGGTGGAAAAAATCGTGCAGCAGTCTTCCTCGCGATAATGGTGACTGCAAGGACACGCACGCACACGAACACGCACACACATCCGTACACGAAAACCGTTGCGTCGACAGAAGTGCTCGTCGGCGGGGATCGTGTCACGGTGTAAGGGTGAAGGGTGTTCCGGTTGTGCGTTGTTATATTTATGTACGTATTTTATTATTGTTCGGAAGCAAGAGACCATGTGCTCGACACCGGTGCGGTGGGGGAAGTCTTCGGGCTCTGCGAGCGACGGCGGCGGCGGCGACGGCGGACGGGGGCCAGGTGTTCGGTTTGTTTTATTGTATTTTTTTTTCCAACCGCCGCCGCCAAACCAGTCAGTATGTACGTGTAGTCGCCATGCAGTGGTCGTGTGTGTTTTCGTCGTCGTCTTCGTGGCCGTTGTGCGTAGTCGTCTGTGCGTGCGCCGCGGTCGCCGCGGTCGTCGCGGTGCCCGTTGCGGTCGTGTCACCGCCGTCTTTCCGGTCGGCCAATCTGTCCACGACGGCCCTGCTGTCCGCCGACAGGTACGGCAAAACCGTGTTGGCCGGTGATGAGATGGCCGTGGCCGTGCAAGAGTACGCGGACTGCGCCGTGTTCCGAGTGCAAGCCCGGACCCGCGGCTACGTGGCTTTGGGGTTCGTGGACCCGATCGCGGCCCATTCCGTGGATGTGTTGCTTTTCTGGGTGGACGACGAGACCGGCGTAGGACACTTACTGGTGAGTTGTTTGTCCCGTAGTATAAACGTGCACCATCGCGTGGTGCAGCTGATGTCGCATATATATTTCGGAATATTCAATAAGGGATGATGCTCGACTGGTCACACAACCCCCTAAGTTTCAAGGGGGGGGGGGGCAAGGGAAGATCGTAAATATACTGTCGTGGGTGAATAATTATTATTGTAATAAAAATCGCCGAATTATATAATTTAGTTCAATGTACATTTGATTTTGACAACAACTCTACGAGTTAATTTACGAAATTAATATTTCAATTTTGATTGTTTCTAATATTCAATTTTGACATATTTTTAGACTTAATGGTTGGTATTGGTTTAATTTATCGTGAGGATGGTGTCGAAATCTAGGGGAAGACGGCACCAAACCTGGGTCACCATTACGTCCCCTGTAACATTGTTATTATTCAGATGCCCATCCAGCTATGACTCCGGTGATTTATAGGTAATAAAAACTAAAATATCGATCGTTTTGAGGTTTTTTTTTTTTGAACGTATACCATATGAAAGTTATTAAAATCGTATAAGCATTTGACATAAGTAAATAATATACAGTTAAATATACCTTCACTCTAACCCGGACCGAAGTATCGTAACGTTACCATATAATGACGAGTGTTGAAAAAGATCAAACCTACTAGTGAGTAGGGTCGTAAATGATCTTTTTCGAAAATGAGCCTTTCATTTGGCATCTTTAATAAAATAAAATGATGTCAACCGGTCCCTAGAATCAAAAAAATAATCTTAGTAACCATTCTGGACAAAAGTCCTCAAGTTATCCCGTCTCATTTACGTTTTTTTCTATTTCGGATCTTTTTCCGGTTAACACGTTAGTTAGCTATTACATTTTGAACAACATCACGAAGCTATACCGGATGTGTTAAATAACTACATATTATAACAATATATCCGACTTTTTACATGGACCCGTGCAAAGTGACGATCGCTATATTATTACGACCATGTATCACAGTATTGGCACTTGCCATGATCACATGTTAATTTCCGGTCCTGAGAATATGATTATTTAACGATTTGAGGAAGCCGTAATCCTCCGTAATACTTAAGAAATCTACGACCTTTGAAGATTCGCATCAAAAATTGACAAAAAAGCTAAGTCGTCCCATTTAATATAGTCTTACGATCCTTTGTTCAACTTAATTTATTTTTATTATAATATTCTACACTTTTTTACCATTGATTTGTACAATTCAAAAAAGTGAATATTATTTAGTAATATAAAATTTAAACACCACAGAGGATTATTTCTCGATGTATCCAACAAATTACTCCTGCCCTTGAATCCGCATCACCTTATCCATTTTCGTAGAGAAACATAAGGACACTGAAAGTACCGACATTGCATGTCCTGACGAATTATGTCATCACCCCGTACCCGCTGTTATCTAATAGCGCACCCGTATACAGTTTAACATTTTAATATATTACACGGATGTAGCCGCACACACTTCCGTGTTTATCCTCTGAACTGTTCACCCTTCCGACGTTGTCGTATATTCATCGGTCTACCAAAGACGTATTATATGTACTAGCTTCTGTACGAACATCCACTCGTGGTGGCCCATTCCGCGACACGTATTCGACGATCCCACAGTCGTGATGTATACAGATGATAATCATCCGTCTAATAATAATCGAATAATAATCATAGAAAAATATCACTATAAAGAATTATTCACGTTTAATTTACATTTTGAAAGCAGGACAAAAAGGCATTTATGTTTTGTAATATCTTTTCACGACATGAAAAAATCCTTAATGCGCTGCCAATTGCTGCAGTCAATTACAATTCATATATATAATATAAAATTTCATCTATATTATCGAATTCCAGTGCGATCCATTGCGGTGATTCGGTTTATTACTTGGTTGTGCGTTTCAAAACGTTTAAATTATTGTAGAACACTTGTCGGATGAATAAACATATAAGTTACGATCAGAATTTTCAAGTTCATTTATTTGGTACATAACTCTGTAATTTTGTCTTTCATCAAGTATATTTTGAATTGTATGGCTTCCATATGTACTCTCGTTGATCGCTCAATTGTTAAAGGTGAATAATGTCTACCTTACATCTATGATAATTTGTTATACTCCATCGTTCACGTAACAGGCAGGGTGTGGAAGCTTCATGATACTCTAGCGGATCACGGTAGCCAACGGATAAGTATTGAATATTGCGTTAACCACATAAACGAAAAACTGATAACCTCACTTCTTAAAAACGCTCAGTGTTTCTAATTTTCCTGACGTACCACTTGAACTTTTCATTACTCGAATTCGCTGTCTTTTCATTCTTATTATATTCGAATTGAGCTTGTTGTCTAGTGTTTGAATATTTTAAGTACGCGTCATCCTTTTTTCATAATATGCATAGGCGCAATTTTGGGGGGGCTTGGGTGTGCTTAGCACCCCCAAATGTGTTAATTTTAATTTACATTTAAATACTCATTACTCATTTTGTATAGAAAAACTTAATAGATTTTGAGTTTTTTTGTATAAATATATAAATTTTTATACAATAAAAAAATATTTCGCAATACGAAAAAAAAATATCTTTGCTATAGGGTAAAAGTTTCAAGTTTCTAGTCATATTACTTTTGGAATTATGACTAAATAATTAAAATTTGGAATGTGAAAGTCTTATTTACAGCGTATTTTTACCATTTCAGGACTGTTTTTTCCTCACGTCTAGAAAAACTATTATTATTTTAAAAAATGACCTATCTAAAGTACCACCACATGCCAATTTAAAGTCTAAAAAAGTCCTAAAAAAAACTTTTGGGCCAGTATTTCTATCCGAAAAAGTGTTAAACAAATAAAATATGAACATCATTATAAAACCATAATATTCGTCGCTTCAGTCAGAATCTAAAAGTGATCATAAGATAAAACATTTTTGTTTACAGACAGGTAATTCGTTATATGCGCAATAAAAATATAAAATTAAAGTGAACAATTTAAATTTAGAAATATTCATATATTTACCAAATATTTTAGTAACTGTTGAATTGTACGGTTTGCGGGTGTCTATAGCCATTAAGGAACATGAAAAAGATAGAAGGGCTTCAGCAACCCCAGTTTTTTCATTGAAATTGCGCCCCTGATAATATGTAAAAACGATATTCAATGTTGCGCTAATAATTATTTTAGTTGACTACTGCACAGGTTTTGACGATTATTTACTTGTAAAATTGTTCTATACACTCGGTGTTTATAGAGATTATTTAGGAAATCTTTGCGTGGATATCCTGTGACTCAATATTTTATTAATAATATAGTGAATTCGAGTGTAAATAGTTGTTTTGGGTAATAATTTCACAGCATGATCTGATGGAAAATGTAATATATTATTTTATAATACATTTATTTGTATATAAATAATATGTACGAACGCACCATATCATGTTTCTTTCCAAGATTAATAAGATATAGTATTTATAACATTAATGATTGTAGAAATTATTTGTGAACGCTCATTCTACCGATTGACCTTAAATGTATTGGTATTATTATGCACACGAAAAGTGTTCATTCTACATGTTAATTTTATTCGTAAATCTCACAAAAATCTTATTTTTATCTGATTAGAATTGTCTTAATACTGGCACTAGTCTACGTTTAAATTCTTCTCGGGTTTAAAATGCCATCGTCGGTTATTATCAGGTTTTTAACACTTCTTATAATATTCAAACATTTTATCCCGCGCTGTTAAACCTGGAAAATGGAAATGAAAATAAAATAAAAATAAATCTAAATGAAAATGTAAATGCATATTTTATGTTCACATAAGTATAAATACCGAGACATTATATGTATAAATATGATGTAGATCGTATTTTACATAGAAAATAAAATTAAAATGTAACGTTTGTCTTATAGTACTATATCGTTGTTTTAAATTTACATTATATTTACATTTTAATACAATTTATATTTGAAACTAATTATTTCGTATTACCATTGGAATGTCATAAGAGTTATATTAAAAATTCTACTATTCTAATACGACTATTATTAGTAGTAAATAGCATTGTTACGTATATACAGTACATATAAAAAAAACGCGATACGACTCACTATTTGTACACATTTAAACGGATTACAAATATTTTATTTTTATTATATTGATTTTATTTTATAGATTAATGCAAATTGATATTACCTCAAACTACATATAACTATATATAATCTGCAATGTATTATTATGATACCTGTAGTATTTAACACCATTGTATTTTCTGTATAACAGAATATTATATTAATATAATATCCATCAAATATTATAGCATGTATGTAATCAATTATAAATAATTGTACTCGTGAGATGTGATAGGCAAATATTTTTAACTTTTATAAAGTAAAATAATAAAAAAGTATTATTTAAAATACAACCTTACGTCCTATACCTGAACATATTCTTATGTTAAAATTGATTGTTACATTTATTATAATCTACGAAAAATCTCAGGATTATATTTATACATGCGTGTACATTATATATGATTATGTGTGTGAAAAAAATGTATATCATTTACGAGATTTAACGAGTTAAACCTGTCTGATTTATAGTATTTTTATTTATTCCCATGCTGAAGTTTGTCATGCATAACTATGTGATTCAATATTATACTACATATATATGTACATTGACCTTATACTAATGGATGGGTTGTGGAAATAATTACCAAAATAAATGACCATTTTTATTTTTTAAATTTAATCCAAACTTAAAATATTTAAATTAATTAAAATTAAGTTTTAAAGCGAGATCGACATAAGTATTATACTAATAAGGCCGTGTACATTAATTGAAAAAACTTTTTTATTGTGGTATTAATTCCACATTTTTTTAATGTTTGCAAATAAATACTAGGTAAGGTCACTTTTGGAAATTAATTTGATATTTTAAGATTTTTTTTTCGTATCTATTAGTATAACGAACCTAAGTACATGATTCGT